ATTACCACAGGTTGACAGGGGCAATACAGTGGTGTTTTATAGCCCAAGTTTTTTGTAGCTAGGGGCTCAGAAATTACGGAGGTCCGTTTGTATTAAGGAGATATAACTGTGCAGTTATCACCTTTCATGCAGAGAGGGATAAATAAACTCCGCCTCAAAAAGTGCTTTGCTAGATGCGCGGTTGATAAGAAGTTATTTATCCTTCATCAGTGTTGTGTTATGTAAGCAAGGCAATAAGGTGGTAGAACATTGGGTGTGGATTTGGAATTGGAAAGCCTTGAGACATATCTGTGTGTTGTTAATGATTTAGTTTTATTTGCAAGTGGGGAAGAAACTGAGAGTAAGAATCTGTGTGTGTGTGTGTGTGTGTGTGTGAGAGAGAGATAGGGAGAGTGAAAGAGACAGAGAAAGAGACGTAGAGAGAGAGAATGTAGAGAGGGAAAGAGAGAGAGAGATAAGGGGGGCCAGGATAACACAGGAGCACACCAAGTTGACTTGTAATAATCCAGTTGTTGTTGCTGTCACAGGTCAGGAGTGTGGTCTGTGTTTGTACTGAGGTAAGCCTAAACCACTCTCCAAACCTGTTACCTAACCCCCGTCCAAGTCACTGCCCCCCTTCAGTATTCTACAAAACACCCCCACCCCCCACTACCAGTCAATCTTCCCTGCTGTAGCCATAATGTTATTCTTTTCTTTCCATACGTATTTTCTCTGTAATTTTCTATGCAACACAAGCAGTTGTGCTTGTAAGGTCTTCAAAAATGTGCACATTTGTGCTGTGAAACACAACAAGTGGCAGGTATGTTGTTGACATAAGGAGCAGGGGACAGATTCCTGCTATTACTTATTCTTACCTGGGGCCACATTCTGTACCTATCTGCATGTATGTTTACCTTGAAGAATCTTCATAGAGATGCATTTCCCTGGCCAACCTAATATGCCAACTTATCTGTGAATTACAATACAAGTATACACCTTTTTATTCAATATAGACAATATTGTTGTAAGTTTTTTTTTTTAGACAAAAGTGGAAAATGCAAGCTGTTCCTTATATTTTGCTCTCTGAGACTTTCCGATGTTCTTTCTCCCTCTCTCTCTCTCTCTCTCTCTCTCTCTCTCTCTCTCTCTCTCTCTCAAAATAGCCACCAATATCAAAACATTTCACAAATCCACGCACCAGGAACTTCTCAAGGAATTCTGTGCCCTGGCCATGGATTAGTGAAATGCATAGCCCAGACAATGCAGCAGAGCCAAGGTTCAGGTATGCTGTTGACACAGGACATTCAGGACCAGTCAGGGGTGCGGTGCTGGACTGTGTTCAGACTAGGCTTAAAACCTGATCGTACAAACATCGTATCAGCTCAGGGACATGTTTCTCAAATAAAACAACTATAAGACCAAACATTTTAATTTTATACACCCAAGGATAAATCAGTAATACTCAGTTTATAAAGGAAATATTGTACCAGCTTTATTTGATATCTTATAATTAATAACAGTGTTTGACCTTGAGTTCCCGTTCTGCTTTCAACAACAGACAAAAATGTCACATGTCGGTCAGAGTCTGGCCTGTGTGAATTGACCGCTGGAGCTAAGGTGTCCAGTAGCCATTATTTGTGGAAAGAAAGCGGTCAGGTTTTTGTCAATAGAGGGGAGTGGACCAAGGGAAAAGAAGCATTATACAAATGGTGTTTGTACTTAACTAATTACAGCACCAGTCACAGGCCACCGTCCAGCAAGATATGGAAAAGAACGGGTATAATAATAGCATATTTTGAATGGCCCATATCTTCTTGTATTTTGAACGGCATATCATACGGTGGTTTGGAAATATGTGACAATGCATGTCAGAGGATATTCAGTATTTAACAACACGATGCTAGCGCAAGTCAGTGACTCATTGACACCTTCGAAGTTCCAGTTTATCTGCTAGGACCCAACTGCAAGAAAACTGTTTTCGTGTCACACAAAGCAGACTCATTGGAAATTTTCTCTCAGGACACAGGTACCCCTTCAAAAGCTAAAAAGGGTACAGCATGTTGCAGAGACTTCAGAGAAGAGTGGAGCTGCCTCTGTAATCCTAGGACTTTCTATTTTGAAATAATTCATGGCATTAAATGTATTATTATTAGGGCTACAAGCTGCAAGACTTGCTGAAGTTCTAATGAAAAGAAAGACATGATTGTGATGGTCCTGTCTTGGCTTAAGATATGCTTTCCAGGTGATTACAATACAGGTTGTTGGATAATGTAGGGAGTGCTTTCCACCAGAAACACTGACTGTACTCCCATGGACTTAAGAAAAAACATTCAGGACATTTGAAAGTTGTGGAAAACATGAACATGAATGTGTTCTCTCAATATGAATAGTTTACTGTTATAGTGGACCTTTGCAGCAGGACATGCCTCACTACCTTCGCTGACCTCATGATTGTTACATGTAACTAGAAACTTGAACTGACTTCAGCTTCAGCGCAGAATGAAAGTTGACAATACTGCACTGGCACATGTTGGCTCCATGTTTTATGTTAAATCCTTTACAATTGATCACTATTAGGTAACTATACTAAAGGTGGATGCAAGGTACCTTTTAAGTTTTTGAACCGGGTGTTTTATGTTCAAGATTTGACCAGTGGCTATTTTTGGAGAACTCCTTAGGATGGACAAATGGTACCTTTTAAGTATCCAAGCCATTGAGTTTTCTTTGCTTCTGGTTGATTTTTTTTCCTGAGGTTAATTTTCCAATAGAGAGGTACCATGGGAGCCTGACCTGATTATCAGACCCTAAGGAAAAGTGGATTTGAGAAATCGTTACATGTTGCAGGGCAGATGAACACATATGGCCATCGCCTGATAATTACTGGTTTGCTAGAATATCATGGACTACTGGCAAGATGTTGGGGTGCCAATAACATGTTGTTTTGTTGTATGTTTTACAACACTGGAGGAAAGGTTTGTGTATGTTGTAAAAGTGGTGAATGAGGATCACTTATCTGCTCAGGAATTTTGTTTTATTTCTCTTATTACTCGGAATGATTGAAGTTCTGTGCAACTGTGTGTGTAATCCCTACTTAACATTGACACATGGATGCTCTCTCTCTCTCTCTCTCTCTCTCTCTCTCTCTCTCTCTCTCTCTCTCTCTCTCTCTCTCTCCAAGCATCATGGCCGTGTGAAAGATTCCATGTGTTATAGAATGCCTTTCAATATTTTCTGAAAGCTCATTGATCAGTGTTTACAGAAATCAGAGATAACACTAACTTCAGAAGGTCTCGTGTGAATTATAAGCAGTCTCGGCTGGCTGGCCAGGTGCGCCTTATGCATTGACATTCAAAACTTGCCTAAAGAGGGAGTTATAGCTATGTGAGGACTCGTATAGAGATAGAGTCAGGTATATATAACATTGCTATGTGTAGTTTGAAAGGTTTGGCATCATGTTTGTAGCCTTGGGGGAGAAAACAGCTCTCTTTTGTCATGTAAACTTCACGAGATGGAGCTGCTTTGAGTGAAGTGTTCCCTGCTGTATCTATAGGATTGATGCAATAGCGGTATTTCAGAGCATCTGTGACTCAATTTTTTTTCCATTATCTTCACACGTACCTGTCCCATATATCTCTTAAAGAAATATGTGTATGCAATTGCTGTGGAATGATGATGTTCCATTCCATAAGGTAGAACATGAATGAGAGGAGATTTTATTTTTTGCCTTACAAAGCATTAACTCAAATGCCTTTTCCAGTCTATATTAGCAGTATGCTAGAGGCACTATTGATTCTTTTGAGATGTGTTTATCTCTCACTCACTCTTCCTGACAGCAGATAATTCAATCAATCTTACATGCTCCAGAAGACTATTTCTCGGTTGAGTACTAGTATAGACTCTAAATCTCAATCTAAAAACAAGACTCATTTGAAGTGAAATTAAGGAGACTATCACAATATTTTTGGATAAGTTTATGAAATTTTAAGTTTTTTTAGAGGAGGTAGAAGACTGCAGGGTGCAGAACAAAATTCTCTGCCTAGAATTTGGCCATAATTAACTAGTAAACTTAAAGAAAGAATATGGTTGGCAATGTATACTTCACAAGTGGGTGTTTTCAAGCCCTTCCCACAGCACAAGTATACAAGCATTGAGCAGTTAGTATAAGAGCCTTCTGTACCTTAAGCTGTTGTAGAAAATAGAGTACTAGTACTTACATAGAGACTGAGGCAAGAGATGCTCAATTGATATTGTAGGAAGAAGGTTACTAGTAATAACTAGAGAGACTTGAATGTGTTTCCCAGAAAAAGAAACTTCAAATAAAAGATGCTAGCTTTTTGGGTAGGTGTGTTAGAATTGGAAGCTGTATAAGTGATCTGTGTTTTATAATGCCACATGTCTTTTTGCTGTGTTTCAACAGAAATGGAGTTTCACTATATCATGAACAACTGGCAACATTTTCATCATCAAGTGTCCAGGGTCTTGAACACAATTTTAAACTTTGTTTGAACTTGAACGCCATTGTTCAGGTGAACTATTATACTAGTAATTATTACCAAATAAACTCAGTGAACATTTCCAGGCACTCAACAGCTGTTAAGGTTTTTTTTTTTTTTTACTCTACTTTCACTACTAAGAGGAATTTTGACACAACATAAGGTTTGTTGTGGTAGGAAATTCTTCTGTAATTATTGACAGAAGGAGTCTTATCTTTATCTTTCATACTATGCCAGTGTGCTTGAATGTTTGACCTGTCATTCTTAAGACTGATGTTGAAATTTTTTGCAATAATACAGACGCTTACTGAGGAGATTAATTACTGCCATGCCATTTTTGCTGTTTTACCTCAGTGAACCTTTCTGAAAAATCCAAATTCCAGTGAATTATATAATTATTACAGCAAATAAATTCCATTTACAATATGCATAGATCTTTATCTACAAAAATATTGAATAAGTATAGTTTCAATGTGGACATGTGAAACTTTCACACTGTTTTTAACCCTTGTTTATCATTATTTACAGATAACGCCATAGTCAACATGAGCACAGCGGCGGCCATTAAGCCCCAGGGGACCAATGGCGGTATCCCTGGTGCCCTGGCGCCTAGCCACGAGCTCACAGATGAGATTTTGAGCGATGAGGAAGGAAAGGTGGACTTGACTGTGGTGCTACCTGGAGGACAGCAAAATGAGATGACAGTGGACTCCCAGTGAGTTACTAGTAATTGTGATTGTTTTGTTTGTAGTGTTGATTCACTGTGCTAGTTGTGACAACAGTTGATTGTGTTAGTTGTGACAGCAGTATGAATGAATTGTGTTAGTTGTGACAGCATTGTAGAAAGCGAAATGGAAAGTGATTGTGCTTTGCTAGAGAATGTTTTCAGATGGTTGAAAATGAAGTTATACAAAGCTCATAGTATCCTAAAATATATTTGCCTAGTTCTAAAAAAATTATCTCCTATCAGTGCTATATACATATTGAGAACTACTCAAAAATTTTCCAGATACAATGGCATGTTTAAATCATCAGAAGCACAAAATACTTTTATTAACTTATTTTTTGTTTGAAACCCGCTAATTGAATGAATAATGATAATTGTTCTCCAATTTTCTTCCCAGCATTCCTGTAATGGACTTCCTCGTGCAGGCTGCAAAGGCCAATAAGCTCAGCCCTACAAGTCATGTGATACAAATTTTCAATGACGATACAGGTCGTCCCATTGAATTCAAAGCTAGCCAGAGCATTGGCTCCCTAGGCACAACCAGAATTTACCTGGTATCCAAGAAGGATCTGAATAAAAAGAAAAACTACAACTTTGAGGTAAGTACTTTTTATTACACTGAACTAAAAAAATTATTGTGGAAGTGTCTTTCAAACAGTGTAATTATTCCTAATTAATTGCGTATCACAAGTCATGTCTTTATCACTATACCACAGAGCATTGTTTATTGGTGTCAGACGACTTTATCTGTAACCATTTTATGACTTGGTAAAGTAAACATTGCAGATAACCGTTAAGTGTACCACTGTCTTTGATTCTGATTATAAGGACAAATAACAGTACAGTCGTTCTTGTTGTTCTATATTATGACCATATGCTTTTACTGCAATATAACATTACAGCTTTATTATTATGTTAACGTAAATGAGGAACTATGTTAGACAACCATAATTGCTACACATTCCATTGCAAAAAAAGGTTTATTTTGTTTTTTGTCCTATTGTTTCTCTCCCCTTCCCTGACTATATTATAGTAAAAGTATGACCAAATCTCAGTGTGAGAGGGCCATACTTTTTATCTGCGTAACAAAGGAGAAATAAAGAAACATATGTCAGAAGTTGTTCTTAACTTTAAGACAGAAAAATATTAATGATCATGAAAATGAAGGCATCACCTTTTACACAAAAAAAAATTTAAAATGGCCAGTGTTGTAAACCTTATTAGTGGATTGATATACAATTTTATCCTGACAGTGTTGAAAATTTCATTTAACAATGAGCAAAATGTTCATTAGCTTGGTTGTTGGATAAACATGAAAATTCCTGGTCGAAGGCCTTCATCAGACTGACGTGAGTAGGTGTTCACTCTCACTGGCTGTAAGCTAACGGTACAGAAAATTTTAGGCTTGTGTCTGAGAATTTTCATGTTTGTTCATTTAAAAAGTTTTTACTTTCAAAGTTAAGACAACTTTGACATTTCTTTATTTCTTCTTCTTCTTTATTATTTATTTCTTTTCTGATACCTTGCCCTGTTCCATTTATGATAGCCACCATTTTAACATACGGTATATCAGAATATATAATAACAATAAGCTTAATAGATTACCCAGAAATGGAGCAGAGCTATATGCACAAACATGTGACTTTTTAGATATTTGAAAATTTATCATATTCCCGGGGTGCTTTGCAGGGTTATGTTTATTTTTATTAATTTTTCAGAGATGGTTTTGAAAATTTTATATTCAATTTGGTTTTAGCTACGGTTTATGTTTAGATTTAGCTTATAAGTTATTACCCAGCTTATTTTTCTGTAATTATAAAGTCATGTAATAGTAGTTATGTACCCTGCAAATATGTACACAAGTTTTTATTTATAAAGTGTGATTGTCTCCATGGGATTTTTTTCAATAAGCATTTCATAATGGCAAACTGAACACAAGTGTATAGTAACAAATCAAAGTAACTGTTGTTGTCACTATGAAATCTGTTGAAACTCTGTCTCATTTCAAAATCACATTTGCTGTGAAGGAAGGTAATCTGCAAATACTAACATAAATTTGAAGCTATAAGGATTGAGAACTGAAAGTCATTGTTTTGAATTATTCAGGCGCACAGAAGAACTCCTGGCAATGTGCCAATGGTAAGACTTGGCCTGTCTGAAGTGTAATATTATGGGATGCATAAAGAGTGTCAGTTATTTTATTGTTGTTTCTATCTTTTTTGCAAGAAGATTTGTTTGTTTGAGGTTGCAGTTCTAAGTTACTATCAATTAAAACTAATAATGTTTTAGAATTTGCTAATTTTTAAAGCTCTCTCTGTATTTGATGTAATGAACAAAGATTTCTTAGTTATATTTAGATAAACAACTATGAACATTGATGAAATTCAGTGCTTTTGGTTCTAATATGTTTTTATTCTCTTGTTCAAATTGCTTTAAGCAAAATGCTATAAAATCTTTATATAATCGAGTTTCTTTTAATTATGAAATAGACCAATATTTGTAAATCATAATATGCATCTTCTTTAGTGATTTACTTAATATAATTCTTGCTGTGGAATTATTTCAGCTTGTGGCATTAATTCAACAATAATTGCATATGGTGCTGTACAAAACTTTGCTTTTCAGAAGTTTTTATACATTTTAAACAAGAGTTGACTTAATGCTTCATATACCACTTCTTCAAAGAAAAGCATGGCCAGAGGGCTTTCTTTATGATTCTGATCTCCAGTGATGATGATAGATTTAATTGTTGTTTCTAGGTGCTCTAACATGCAGAGAATTTCAGCCAAATTATCATCTGAGTGCATTGACACTTCACTCAAAGTTAACAGCCCAATAGCCAAACTCATGCAAGCATTTACTAATAGAATTTGACAAGCAGATTACATTTTCATATTTTCATTCAGTCATAATAAGAATATCTGTTCCTTTAATTTTCTAAAAAATGATTTATAAATCATGCAACTTTGCAATTTAACTATTATTGCTGTAGCAAAGCAGTCCAAGCATGAAATGTGGCAATTTTAATTTAAAACAGCTTGCAAATGATTGTGAACTTGCACATGGCAGAATGTAAAGAAGTTATAAGTTCAAGGGTATTGATGCAACTTTTTAGTTTGTAAATTGGACCCACTTCTACTTCTCCTCTCCCCCAGGAAAAATGTAAAAAAAAAAAGAAGAGGATTTTCTACTTATAGTACTTCTTCTAAGTCTGTTTGACTAAATATAACTGACTGACTAAATAACACTGTGGGACTACTCTAATGCAACCAAGCATATCAATTTATAGTTCAAGTATAATTATACCTTCTTTGTATAATGGCTTTGTATAATATTAATTCATGGCTCAAGTACCCTTGGCATAATATTATTCAAAGATACAACACACAAACCTTTTGTAAAAAAATAATGCTTGGTTGAATGCACCATGAATATTTGCTACTGACAACATTGCCTTCTTCTCAATTGACCTAATTATAATCTTACTAGTAAGGTCGCTGGCAAGGAGAAAGTTACAGTGTATAGACAGATTGATACAGTGTATAGACAAAAGGTACTGTAACATCAAAACAAGAAGTTACATTGTAGAGGCTGAATGATACAATGTTGGAGTTGTATCCCTCTACTGGACCACAGTTCATGGACACAGTGTTAAGTGATTTCTTGTTTTCATCTCCTAAGGTTACCATACGACTGACAGTGAACTTGCCAGGAAAACAGAAACATGTTTCCAGAGTCAACCCAAACAAAACACTGGCAGAGATATACAAACAGGTTTGCGATGAGAAAAACATGGATGCCACACGATATGACTTTCGACTTATCAACGAGCCAGATAGACAGTTGGATATGTCTACTAAACTGAGTGACTACCCCAAAACAAATGAGATCAATCTCATTACTGTCAAAGGTAAGCGGTAAGAGTTGTAGAAGAGCCATTGGTATAAACAGCTCTCTAACATTTATGTACTAGGTACCAGTACTGTACTGTAAGTCTGGTATAAAGAAGTAGTGAAAGTCACTATTTAAACTTTGATTTAAGCACAGACTTTGCTCATATTTAATATACCTTTCTCTTGTTAATGAAACATCCAATTAAAACAATAACTTGATGATATTTCTGTCCTGCAGCTCCCAATTTTCGCAAGTCAACAACAGATCTTATATATGCTCAAAAGACTCTCAGTGCAATGCAAAACCCTAGCTCCGGCACCCTCATGCCTGATGGGAAGGAGAAGAAGAAAAAGGGATTTTTCTCTTTTATGAAGAAGGATAAAGCTAAATTTAAGCCAGTAAGACATGAAGCTTTTCCACTCTTGGTTAATTACTGTAATATTAGGTCATTTGAATTTACTGCCCAAAGGAATGGCATTTTAACAATTTAACAAACAGGTAACTTTTTTCTCTTTTGTTAAGGTTCCGTAAATTAATTATTTATATCCACTGAGGAATGTTGTTTAGATTTTGAGATGAAGACTACAACCATCCACTATTATTCCAGGCTGAGGCTGGTAACAGTGCTCAAAAAACCTCCACTTCATCACTCCCCCCTTCAAATGGAACCCACTCATCCCAGCAGTTACCCAGACAAACCGTATCAACATCGGTTTTATCAACAGCCCCTCAGCACATGCAGCCTGGCAGCTCAACCTCACTGCCGAGGCCTGGGAAGCCCCATGCTAAAAAACGGGCTGCTCCAGCACCTCCACCACAACAGGTGGCTCCATCTAGGGAGATTCCAGTCAAGACAGAACCAACTGAAGAGATTAATAGTCTTTCACCTCTGCCAAACTTGCCAGTGACTAATAAACTTCACTCCAGAAATAGTTCAGACTCCAGTGGATACCATGAGTCGCCGTCTAGTCCTACAGAGTCACCAGATTCACATAGAGACAAGATGAAGACGAGTTTAGATGCAACATCTCTGGAGAGCAATGATTTAGGTTGGCAAAACTCACAGTTTCACATGTAACGCTTTTTACATCAGCAGATTATATAGATCGGGAAGCATATTTTTTGACCTGACATTTTTTGCATATGGAAATTATAACTTGATGCTGTTCTGGTAAACAATGAAATGTATCAAGGTCATCCAGATATGCAAATATTTTAATTAGTGGTCTCTTAAAACTCACATATTGTATTTACTATTAAAACCATTATGAAATTTACAAACAAAGTGTAATATTTTCTTATCGAAATGTCAGGTCCCGAACCATCATCCATGGGAAGCCATAGCAGTCCACATCCTTCAGTGAATACTTCCACAGAAACTCTCACAAACTCAAGACTCTCAGAGGATGTGCCTGATGCACGCACGCCTGAGAAGCCATCGCCCACAAAAGGAACAGCAACTGCCAAGGGTGGCCGAAGAAAGGCACCTGCACCACCACCGCCACCTGGTGAGTGAAACATAACCTTGACCTTTCAGATGACCTTGGGTATAATCTGTTGGCTTATCTGAAAGTTTTTATGTTATGTATATATTAATGAATGATTACAAGATAGGGGAATGTCTATGCTTGTATATGACTTAATCGCCTGAAAGTCTCTTTGTTTTAGATCTAACAGTAATGAACTATGACAGATGTAACTCACGACATGACAGATAGGATTTTCTTCCATTATATATATGAAGACTTTTAAAGATTTGTGTATTGCAACAATGATCATGAGAGGGGGTATATTTACATTTTCTATACCAATTTATGCCTGTTTTTGGTGGTAATGGTGCCCTACTTACATGTGCTATAGACAACATTAAAGATAGTTGAACTAGTTTTAGGTATGGTTCATGGTAAATAACATGTCATCTTTTACTGAAATTAACTGTTGTTAATACAAGTTTTGTGTTTGTCCATCAGCATTATCATACAAAACTTTTTCAGGTGTTAAAAAAGGCAGGAACACTCATGCAATTTATATGGACAGTCTTATTGTCATATAAATTCTGGATTGTGACCTCAGAACCATAATCCACTTAATTTCAGATGTAGGACATCATTTTAGAGAGTGACTGCCAGATCTGCAGGTATCTGAATGACTGAAACATTATCTCATATCACCAGTCATATTGTGTCATGCAAGTCGGGTGACATAATTTTTTTCCTTTAAAAGATGAATATATTTTGCCAGATTTTGATGAGACCTGCTGTGATTTCAGGTGTGAAACCCTACAGACCGCCTAGTCATAAAACCAAAGCTGCTCCAAAACCAGGAGTTAAAGTAAAAGCTAATGGTAAGAAGGGAGACTCAGTGTGGGTCTTCCTCACACTGTACCCTAGTTTTCACCTGCTGTTGTACCTACCTGCACCCTTCTGGCATGACTTTACACTTGCCACAGTACCTACCAGCACCTCAGTAGCATGATTGCTGTGATTTGCAGCATGATTATGTATCCATCTTTGTTTTCCTTGATATTTTGAATCAGTAAAAAGCAAACTGCATATCTGATTGTATTCTGCTTGCTATGGATTGCAGCTTGAAGTCTTTTTTTTTTTTCTTTCAATTTTTTCATTTACGTTTGCCAGGTTGTAGCTTAATTTACCTTTTTCATGATTTCAGCTTTGGCATTAGAGATTTTATTTCATATTTTTTTCAGTTTATGAATCATGGTTTCTAGCTTTTAATTTCTAATATTTTCAGTTTGCTTATATGCAGTCTTTATTAGTTTAAATTAACATCCAATTAGCACCGACTTCTGTGGGATTGGTCTTTGATATTATAGCATTGTCTCTTCAGATAATTTCATTTCAGTAATATTTTGTCTTTTTTGGCACTGTGCATTTAACTTAATATGCTTTATCTTATTAACTTATAGAAAATTTGCTTAAATACATCCTTTTTTCATCTTGAAAAATGATCATTTTATAGTGCTTTTGTTGAAGTATTAGTTTTCTTTGCTTGTAACTTAATTAATACATTGTTTTACATTTAATAAGCTAAGCTTATCTAGGCTGGATTGTTTGATTTGCTTTAGCGCGGGATTTAAATATAAGTTGATGCCATGTTTTTTGTAGATATTCTAGTTGATTTTTACTTGGTAACATTCATTCCAAGAAATAATATTTAAGATAAAAATCTTAACACACACACTGTGAGATAGGTAGATAGATAGATATACTAGTATGCATATTCATGTCTTTTAATCTTTATATTACATTATCTTTATATTATCTTTTCACAATATCCAGAGATTTCCTTCGAATCTACTCAGAGAAAATCCCCAGGCTCACATCTGTTATTTATAATAGTTATATTCCAAGCCAGTTTTGCCATTTTCTTGACATAGTCTTGACTAAAGCTCTACACAACTAACCAAGTAATGCCATAATAACAGATTTGTTAACATGACTTCCTCCTTACTTGTATGACCCTGGTACTTACTGCTTTTATGTTTTCTTTTTAGTTGATGTTGTACCTTAATACTTTAATGGGAGAACTAATGGGTCCTCAATGTTTCAAATTAACATGTTGAACTTTTTTGTACCAGTTTTAATATACTGAGGTGGTAGGCATGTGTATCTTTCTGACTTTCCTGTCTTCTTTCTCTTGTTTAACAGGGGTAGTTTATCGTGAAAAACCAGGTAAACCTCCAAGACCTCACACAATTGTAGGTGGCGATATACAAGAAGAGCCCAAGTCAGCACCACGCCGTCCATGTTCTTTTATTGCTCCTCCACCCCCTGTGTCACCTCCCCCAGGGGATTTGAAAACCCCAGAAAATATTGAAGATTTTCTTCCATTGGGACAAGGCAATATGGCGGTGGCGGGAAAAGGGATTTTGCATGTAAACACTGGTATCGGCACTTCTCCTGTTGCTGATGGTAAGAAGATGGAGATTAAGAGACGGATGGAATCCTTTTATATATTTATTTTTTCCATTTCATTTATTTTGTTTTATTTCATTTTTAATTTTATTTTTTCATAAATGTCAATTTCTTGTTGTGTTGGGAGTAGCTCTCGTTTCAGAAAATTGTGCCATGAAACATTTTGCTTATAAGTCCCTTCCCCTACCCCCACAACATAAGTATCTTGAAATGAGGAAATCTATCAAAAAAATTAAATAATATTTTTTTAATTATAATCTCAGAGTGTTCTTTGTTCTTTAAAGATTCCATCTGCTTCTTATTATGTTCCACTTTCTGCAATATTTATTATTTTTTCTTTGTTTAATTATTTCTGGCTATTGTTATTGCAAGATATTGGTTTGATTTTGTTATCATTTTGTTGTAAATTATTCTTGCGTAGCTTGCATAGCTATTCTGGCATGAGATAGGTGTTATTAATTTATTAATGTGGGCAGTGGTATACTTTGCTTGTTTGTATGGTTAAGGGAATCTAATGTATTGCTGTGGATCATCTCAAAAGTTAACAGACGACTGCAAACAAGATGGATTATTTAAAAAATATTTAAAAACCTTCTGACATTTGATCAGACATTTGATTTTATGATAATTGATTTTTATTTAATGCATTTTTGAATTGTGGAAAAGAATAACAGTTAACTAGACAATGCCAAAACTACCAGAAATATCCTGAACACAGATACTTCGTCTGAAATTTAAAAAAATATTCAATTTTGCAATCAACTTTTGAGATTCCTCCGATAAGCTGAATAATTTGTATCATTTTATGTTTTGATTGAATAATTCTAACAGTAAATATCTCCACAAATGGCTTCATACTGTATAGCCAGTGAACACACAGTGGTGGTGACAGAATAGGGGATACTTGTTTATATTAAAAAGATGGCCTTTGCTCTGCCTCAAAGTTTACACTTTCGGATCAATTTCCTACATGATAAAATATTTTTAGAATCAACATCAGAAAAGAGCTTATGGCTCATAGTAGTCAGAATTGGGTATGTCATGGTTGCTTAAAACTGTTGCAGAATTATATATTTTTTAAGCGCCCAGACCCATATATCATCCCTGGAAGAGACTGATGGATATATGAATATCATGTGCATAACTTTCTTGTCTTCAAAAGTAAACTGTCACCACCAAGCTGTATACTTCACTGTGGCTATGTAAGCTGTCTAATGCCATTTCTCTGTGTGTGACACTGTATGTTCAACTTGGCTGTATTTTATGTCAGTGATGGTATTTGTCTTAAAGTTGTCATGTCCTCCCCGTACACGAATGCAGTCTTTGTAGGAATTAGAAATCTTTGTCATTGTGACCTTCTGAAGAAAACAGGAGTGCCCATGTCCACTTTTGAAGTATGGACCAGAATATCCTTATGAAAACAGACATGTTCCTGATTGTTTAGTCCACCATAATGTTCTCTTTGTTATAAAACCAATGCTCTATTAACCTTTTTCATCTTTTGCGGAAATACGAAGTGCGCATGACAGGAACCGCGCGCCACAGGGGTAATGGTGGTCCTCTGCTGTTTCCAGCATGGCAATGCTAGGTGTAGATGATGTACAAGGTGTGCATATAAAAAGGTCGTTCGAAGTTTCTGTCAAACCAAAAAGGTGGCTGAAGCACAGAAATGCGTAAACTGTAGGCAAGAAACAGCTATTTGGACGGAGAATCAAGCAATTAAATATTTCAATTATATATCTCAGTTTAAATACGATGCGCTTTACAACTAGACTTCACCTAAGCGTCCGAGCCTTGGCTGCACTTTCAATAGTGATGACGAACTAAAGCTACGGAGTTCTTTTGAATGCTTCCGATAATAAAGATATGCGAAAGAGACTCGTTATTTTTTTATATATAAAATCAACATAGCCAGTAGACTCGTACACAGCTTTCAAGAGTGTCAACTATCTAAGACAGTTAAATATACGTAGGCCTACTTTAATACTAAGCATATTTGTATTACTTTACAAATACGTTGTTGGATTATGTTTATTATCCATTTTGTCTTTACCATACATGTATTATGTACGTGTAGCTTACAGAAAGGCTTTTCTGCATTTTTTGTAAAAATATGCCCATTGAATTTTCCAATTCTCTTGTCATTGAGTTCAGAAATAAATAACTTTTTATTTCGCCGATAACGCGTTCAACAAGAGCCAATGTACTTTCTTCTTCGTATGTCTCTGTTGATCTTGATAATATGAGCCCCGTAAGTAGAATTTGTAAGTAGAATCCCCGTGTAAAACTTCAAAGCTTTTACTTTCTTTTTNGTATCATCCCTGGAAGAGACTGATGGATATATGAATATCATGTGCATAACTTTCTTGTCTTCAAAAGTAAACTGTCACCACCAAGCTGTATACTTCACTGTGGCTATGTAAGCTGTCTAATGCCATTTCTCTGTGTGTGACACTGTATGTTCAACTTGGCTGTATTTTATGTCAGTGATGGTATTTGTCTTAAAGTTGTCATGTCCTCCCCGTACACGAATGCAGTCTTTGTAGGAATTAGAAATCTTTGTCATTGTGACCTTCTGAAGAAAACAGGAGTGCCCATGTCCACTTTTGAAGTATGGACCAGAATATCCTTATGAAAACAGACATGTTCCTGATTGTTTAGTCCACCATAATGTTCTCTTTGTTATAAAACCAATGCTCTATACAGATCTGTTAACTGGAAGATAAATCTACAGATACTTTAACACTAACAGAACCAATTTTTCTTGATTCATTGAAGGATTTTCACATCAGACGCCAGGACTATAGATGGCAGCACTCAGCCAAGACACCTTTTGATGTATTTCTTGTTTCATTTCTATTGTGCTAATGAGAATATTCATTGTTTTCAGCTTTTTTTTCTCTCCCCTGCCCAAAATTGCATGCATATTGCTAACAAAGTTCATTGAACATTAAATTTTAGCTCATAGTCGAAGTAACAGTGGAGATGGATCAGTGACTACACTAGATGACATTGGGATGTGTTTCGAGGACACAATCGCTGCTGCTGAAGAGGCAATTCAACGCGAGGATGGTACGTTTGATCAAATGGAGAAACCCCTTGAGTGAAAACATAAGTGTGCTGTGCAAATAGTCCTCTTTAGAAATCCCTTCTGTGCTAGATAGAGAGAGAGCACCCAGAAAACTATCAGAGATTGGTCACATGGGATGCACTTTTGCAGAATATTCCATGGAAAATTCCTTGGAAAATGGAGGCGTTGCAGAGTCCCAGCACCAGTGACATTTTCCTCTCCACTATAATAATTAAAACCTCTGTATGCTTTCATGACTTTTTCAGATTTGTCTCCTCTCTAACCAATATGTTAGTGTTGATTGGGTGATTTTTGAAAGATGGCAATTAATGTAGATTGTGATTCTTTTTCTGAGACTCTTTATGATTGACCAAATTTCACTTTTCAGCTCAATTCTAATTCATTCTCTTCTCAGGTTTTGCAGTGTGCCAGTTTGTCACAATCCGCCATCTCAACTACCACAATTAGCCTTTTCACCTGCCATATTTTTTTCTTTCTGATATTGAATTTAATGTGCGGATGTGATTGAGTTCCTCTTGAAATTTCTACCAGATACTAGATGTCACAAATTACTAATAAATAAAACTACGCTAAACATCTAATCATTAGAAGCTACTAATCCAACAAAATTTTAATCCCATGTAGGCTTCTCAGATTTGTCTCATTATTTGAACATCTAAAATATATCTTTACTTCAAATTCAATTTTGTTTACTCACAGGTATATTTATTATTTTTTATTATAGTGTGTGTTTAAATTTGTCAGTCTGTGTCTGTTGTCAGCCTGTATATTACATGAGTCATCTGAAGATAAATGACAAAGCTTTGTTCATAACTTGGTGCATTGTACTCTCTTGCTCTCCATGTCAGCTCCTATGTAATATGATGGATAGTCACCAGTTTGAATATGTCTCATGTTCACTCGCCCACTTAACCTGTCTTTTGCTTGCCATATGCACAGCCATATCAGACAGAAATCCACACAATTTGGCAGGTCCCAAAGTCAGCTCAATTTTTTTTTTTTTTTTAGTTATTTGAGATTGTTTGGACAGAGATGTTATTGTCTTCCCATGGACTGAATTGACCCCCCTATCCGCCTCCCCCCTCTTCAGTCTATGCACTCCCTAATAGAGAGGTCGAGTGAAAAAACCTTGGTGTATATAATGATAGATTTCCACTAACTCCCACTACATCACATACTTCCAGTCTGTCAGCAAGTACAAATGGTCCCATATAGTCGCCTTCACACCGAGTTTAACTTGGACCAGTATTAGACCAGTTGATATCACCAGTCACCCAGTAGCCTCAGGAATCCCTATTGCACGCAGAACAGGTTAAAACCCCCATATTAAGTGAACTGGTATCTAAATTGACAATCAGTATCCATCAGACAACCTGTAATTTATAAGTCTAAATCAAACCTGATGTGAACGTGCCCTGTCTGAGCAACAATGTTGCCTTTTACTTTAATGAGTACGATAAATCCTGTTGATAGTCAGCAGACAAGAAGAAGGTCATTTCCAAGACTATACTTAAGTCTTTATATCTGATGGTGAGTAGGTAATTTACATGTAGACAGACCTGGGCCACTTTGGGGAGATAGTCACCACTGGTTTAATTGCATGCTTCGGAGACTGCATTTGACTTTGAGAACAGGGGGTTAACTTTGGAGGCATTTCATTAGCAGGGTTTAATTGTATGTTTTTGATGCATTTTTGGAATTAACCTTTGGCTTTCCCTGTGAAGAGCAGTTTTTGTTTTAGATCTCTAGTATGTAAGTTATTCGCTGACAGCTGTAGAGATTGTAGTGTGTTTTATGTATGTGATGGTACACAGTGCTCAGTCCTGTCCATTATCTTCAACAGTGCAGTTTGTGCAGGGAGAGGACTGGTAGCTTTTGCTTTGATATGTGGAAGTTATATTCTGCTCTTGTTTGAGTGAATCAGTGTTAAAGCAACAGCTTTTGCTTTACTGAGAAGTAGGAGGTATATATCAGTAATTTTATGCTTAGAGAATTTAATGTGCTAACACCTTTGTTCTTCTGGATTATATTTATGCTTGTGTCCGGGGGGGGGGGGGGGGGGGCTTTTTTATACATTTGTCATGTATGAAAAAAAGGGAACTTTCGAAACAACTGAAATTTTGTTTATTTGTTCATTAACTATACTTTCAGACGAAGGGTACAAAAACGAGATGGCTCAATTTGTTGAAAAAATGAGTGAGATGACAGCTGATATTCACGATGGAAATATTCCAGACGATGAACCACTTTCCAGTCCTGATATTTCCCAACCATCTGACCAATCAGAAACAGGGACTTTTGTTCGACATGGCGATACTGATTCTGAGTCAAGCTCAATTAAAGATGATGTTCATGAACTTCCTGAGACGGAGGAGATGAAAGTTCCTTCTCAGAGAATTAAAGTGGAATACGATGCTCCATATATGGCAATGGAGGACACAATAAGCCAATCAGAGGAGGTGCCTGAATATATCTCACCTGAGCTAAATACTGAATCGAATACCGAAGATGACAAGCCTGTGGAAATCCCTGTTCAGCACACANACTTTTTATTTCGCCGATAACGCGTTCAACAAGAGCCAATGTACTTTCTTCTTCGTATGTCTCTGTTGATCTTGATAATATGAGCCCCGTAAGTAGAATTTGTAAGTAGAATCCCCGTGTAAAACTTCAAAGCTTTTACTTTCTTTTTCCATAATCTCATGCTTGAAGTCTTTTCTTAATTTTTAGGCCCCGGCCTATTCTTCAATTTTTTCTTCAAATCTTAATAATGTTTTTTTTTCTCGCATTTTTTACCCCCGAGTTCTATTTGCCGATAGTTCGTTATATATGTTGTTTAACTAAGCATTTCTGTTTTTTATTAAAGCACCATTGATCTCCTAATATTATAGTTTTTCTTCCCGCCTTCGAAATGTTCAGCGCAAACGCGGTGCCCTGCTTTTGATCCAAACTTGCTATATTTTCCTTTCTTTCTACCATATTTTTCATTCTAACGGGTTTGTTGGGAACTTATTAAACCTCATGTGTAAATCTCGCTTACTGTTATTGTAGTAGCGGGACAAAAAGCACGTAAACCCAGCCATGGTTTTAAGCACCGCTGTAAGTGTTTCGACGTAGCAGGGCTCCCCTACCCACAATGCAATTTCCATTTCCGGAAAAGATGAAAAAGGCTAATACAGATCTGTTAACTGGAAGATAAATCTACAGATACTTTAACACTAACAGAACCAATTTTTCTTGATTCATTGAAGGATTTTCACAACAGACGCCAGGACTATAGATGGCAACACTCAGCCAAGACACCTTTTGATATATTTCTTGTTTCATTTCTATTGTCCTAATAAGAATATTCATTGTTTTCAGCTTTTTTTTCTCTCCCCTGCCCAAAATTGCATGCATATTGCTAACAAAGTTCATTGAACATTAAATTTTAGCTCATAGTCGAAGTAACAGTGGAGATGGATCAGTGACTACACTAGATGACATTGGGATGTGTTTCGAGGACACAATCGCTGCTGCTGAGGAGGCAATTCAACGCGAGGATGGTACGTTTGATCAAATGGAGAAACCCCTTCCCTTCCTGGGTGAAAACCTAAGTGTGCTGTGCAAATAGTCCTCTTTAGAAATCCCTTCTGTGCTAGATAGAGAGAGAGCACCCAGAAAACTATCAGAGATTGGTCACGTGGGATGCACTTTTGCAGAATATTCCATGGAAAATTCCTTGGAAAATGGAGGCGTTGCAGAATCCCAGCACCAGTGACATTTTCCTCTCCACTATAATAATTAAAACCTCTGTATGCTTTCATGACTTTTCAGATTTGTCTTCTCTCTAACCAATATGTTGTGTTGATTGAGTGATTTTTGAAAGATGGCAATTAATGTAGATTGTGATTCTTTTTCTGAGACTCTTTATGATTGACCAAATTTCACTTTTCAGCTCAGTTCTAATTCATTCTCTTCTCAGGTTTTGCAGTGTGCCAGTTTGTCACAATCCACCATCTCAACTACCACAATTAGCCTTTTCACCTGCCATATTGTTTTCTTTCTGATATTGAATTTAATGTGCGGATGTGATTGAGTTCCTCTTGAAATTTCTACCAGATACTAGATGTCACAAATTACTAATAATTAAAACTACACTAGACATCTAATCATTAGAAGCTACTAATCCAACAAAATTTTAATCCCATGTAGGCTTCTCAGATTTGTCTCATTATTTGAACATCTAAAATATATCTTTACTTCAAATTCAATTTAGTTTACTCACAGGTATATTTATTATTTTTTATTATAGTGTGTGTTTAAATTTGTCAGTCTGTGTCTGTTGTCAGCCAGTATATTACATGAGTCATCTGAAGATAAATGACAAAGCTTTGTTCATAACTTGGTGCATTGTACTCTCTTGCTCTCCATGTCAGCTCCTATGTAATATGATGGATAGTCACCAGTTTGAATATGTCTCATGTTCACTCGCCCACTTAACCTGTCTTTTGCTTGCCATATGCGCAGCCATATCAGACAGAAATCCACACAATTTGGCAGGTCCCAAAGTCAGCTCAATTTTTTTTTTTTTTTTTTTTTAGTTATTTGAGATTGTTTGGACAGAGATGTTATTGTCTTCCCATGGACTGAATTGACCCCCCTATCCGCCTCCCCCCCTCTTCAGTCTATGCACTCCCTGATAGAGAGGTCGATTGAAAAAACCTTGGTGTATATAATGATAGATTTCCACTAACTCCCACTACATCACATACCTCCAGTCTGTCAGCAAGTACAAATGGTCCCGTATAGTCGCCTTCACACCGAGTTTAACTTGGACCAGTATTAGACCAGTTGATATCACCAGTCACCCAGTAGCCTTAGGAATCCCTATTGCACGTAGAACAGCTTAAAACCCCCATATTAAGTGAACTGGTATCTAAATTGATAATCAGTATCCATCAGACAACCTGTAATTTGTAAGTCTAAATCAAACCTGATGTGAACGTGCCCTGTCTGAGCAACAATGTTGCCTTTTACTTTAATGAGTACGATAAATCCTGTTGATAGTCAGCAGACAAGAAGAAGGTCATTTCCAAGACTATACTTAAGTCTTTATATCTGATGGTGAGTGGGTAATTTACATGTAGACAGACCCGGGCCACTTTGGGAAGATAGTCACCACAGGTTTAATTGCATGCTTCAGAGACTGCATTTGACTTTGAGAACAGGGGGTTAACTTTGGAGGCATTTCATTAGCAGGGTTTAATTGTATGTTTTTGATGCATTTTTGGAATTAACCTTTGGCTTTCCCTGTGGAGAGCAGTTTTTGTTTTAAATCTCTAGTATGTAAGTTATTCGCTGACAGCTGTAGAGATTGTAGTGTGTTTTATGTATATGATGTTACACAGTGCTCAGTCCTGTCCATTATCTTCAACAGTGCAGTTTGTACAGGGAGAGGACTGGTAGCTTTTGCTTTGATTTGTGGAAGTTATATTCTGCTCTTGTTTGAGTGAATTATTGTCAGAGCAACAGCTTTTGCTTTACTGAGAAGTAGGAGGTATATATCAGTAATTTTATGCTTAGAGAATTTAATGTGCTAACACCTTTGTTCTTCTGGATTATATTTATGCTTGTGTCGGGGGGGGTGCTTTTTTTATACATTTGTCATGTATGAAAAAAAGGGAACTTTCGAAACAACTAAAATTTTGTTTATTTGTTCATTAACTATACTTTCAGACGAAGGGTACAAAAACGAGATGGCTCAATTTGTCGAAAAAATGAGTGAGATGACAGCTGATATTCACGATGGAAATATTCCAGACGATGAACCACTTTCCAGTCCTGATATTTCCCAACCATCTGACCAATCAGAAACAGGGACTTTTGTACGACATGGCGATACTGATTCTGAGTCGAGCTCAATTAAAGATGATGTTCACGAACTTCCTGAGACGGAGGAGATGAAAGTTCCTTCTCAGAGAATTAAAGTGGAATACGATGCTCCATATATGGCAATGGAGGACACAATAAGCCAATCAGAGGAGGTGCCTGAATATATCTCACCTGAGCTAAATACTGAATCGAATACCGAAGATGACAAGCCTGTGGAAATCCCTGTTCAGCACACGAGGAATGAAGATGATGAAGATGTCAAACCCAAACCAGTGATTGAAATCGAAACATCTGAAAGTGATGCTGATTCAATAAAAGAGGCCCAGAAAGAGGTCGACGCAGCAGATAAAAAGAAAAATAAATCAAAAGCCCTTCTACAGGAAATCTCTGGCAATGTCAGTGGGAAGGCAAAAGAGACTGGAAAAGAAGACGAAAATATCAAAAAATCCAAACCAGTAGACTACCCCCAGCAAGGTGAAGGAGAGGCAGACACCATGCTAGAAGAGAAATCCATATCTCAGATTGCTCTCCCTGCAGTGAAAACCTCAGTTAATAAAAAGCAAAAGGAAGAGCCTGCTAAGCAACCCAATGTTGCTCAGCATTCGGACCCTCTGAAAGCTGAGTTAGCACAAGCAGTCGTTAAAAAAGCTGAACCAAAACGAAGGGCAAACCAGGATGACTTTGAATACAAAAACCCATGGATTGGCCCGCGTATGGGAAAAACTGAATTCATTGTGCCCAAAAGTGCCCCACGCAAAGCACCTGCTAGTCAGCCTGTCGTAATTGACGCCCCACCACCAGTAGTCAATAGTCAACCCAAAGTTATTCAGCGCCGTAGCCTGCAGGAAATATACGGTAGCCAGGTGGCCGCCATACCAGGACCAGTGCCTCCACCTGTTGAGGAAAAGACTGAGAAGTCATCTGAAGAAGAGACCCAGAAGGGACAGGAGAAGGATGCTGCCTCTGGAGATAATACCCCATCAGAGACCCCGAAAGAAGAGTTTATTATTGAAAAAGAAGATTATTATGTGAACAAGATGCCATCACCAGGGGTGAGTATGGGGGAGGGGCTGGATTTCGCAGTGTTTTTC